TTCTATATACCCCAGAAACGACACATCCCTTACCCAGTCTGCGGATGTGGCGTATTGAATACGATAGGGGGGTATTGCTGCTGTTCCTGTTGCTGGTACTGATAGTGTTGTTGTGGCTCTGGCTGTGATTGCTGGTATTTCTGTGCCTGTGTGTGTTTGTGTGTATTCGGCTGTGTCTGTGTGCGCACATGCTCTGTTTGTGCTTGTGCCATGTACTGTTGTTGTTCGTAGATGTTGTGTGCGTCTCCAGCTGAGTGGGTGGGTGGCGTTTGGCTTCTCGGCGGTGCGTGCGTGGACGTTGTGTGCTGTAAGATCAGAATCAAAAGGTGCGATTATTCATACTTCATGGCTTTATGTTTAGGGTTTGATGGTCTTAGGGTCTTAGGGTTTTAGGGTTTTAGGCCGTAATTTGAAGTATAGACAGAACCCTGAGCGCTAGTGTCATGAACTACACCGTCCAAGATAACGGGACCTGAGCGCAATACCGGGACGATATATTTATAGCGACCTAAATACGGAATACCGATGACTATGCTATATGGTAGGTATGTACTAGGACAGCGAGTACTAGCGGACGTATACAATGAATATATGGAATATGTATATAATAAAGGTATGGATTATGAACACAATATAAATATGTTTAATATATGTAGTGAAAATCTGGATTACGTATATAATGAAGATATACGTAAATAATAAAGATATGGATCACTATACAGTGCACATATGGGATGCGTATATAATAAAAATATGGATCACTATACACTGCACATATGAGTTACCTATATAATGGGTACAGGCATCTATTGAGTTTAAATAGTGTCTCTGTATACCTATAGTACCATCATATACAATGGATATGCCAATACATCACCCAAATTCGGATACCGAGGCTACACACACCTGCACACAACCACATGTCACGTACACTCACACCCATAAACCCATACCAACTCAACACCCACACAAACACACGGCCCGTGCACATACGAGCTGCTGGGCTGGTGCTGTATCGGGTGGCCCATCATATGCGGGTGGGGCATAGTGTGGGAGGACTGGCACATCCGTAGCGGATGGAGCACTGAACTGTGTGGGGTAGCCAGTCGACGTAGTTTGGTAATCTGTGGGCAACTGAGGCGTTGTACTCTGATGGAAACAGAAGCGAGTTGTTATGGCAAAACTGATGTAACTGTGTGGAAAATAGTATTATGAAAGAAGGGAAATGCAGTTATATCGTAGTGAAAGAATAGTTTATATGTGTGTAAATAATACGTATAAATATAGATAAGTGTTATATATATTGAATATAAATGCGTATATATATATATATATATATTGAATATAAATGCGTA